CCTTCTCCTCCTCCTCCTCCTCCTCCTCCTCCTCCTCCTCCTCTTCCTTCCTCCTGATGTTCCTCCTGTCTCCATATGCACCTCATCCTCCTTCTTCTTTCCCTCTTTTCCATTTCTCCCTCTTCCCTCCTCCATCCTTCCCCCCCTCTTCCCGCCTCCAGATGCAACTGCGCGCACTTATTTCCACTCGCAGTACAATTCCGTGCAGGGGGCCTTCAGCCAAGGTTCTCTTATTCTTCTTCTTTCACCTCCCCATCCCCCGTGGCAGATCAGGGCGGGTTCTTCGACGCTGTTTCTGTCCCCGGGCCGCGCGGACCGATCCGGCTTCCAGGAAGGAGTCGAGCTCAAGCGCGGGCCCCACCAGTGTTCTGCCCCACCAGTGTTGTCGCGCCGCCGCCTGCCTTCACGGCGCACCGCGCGCCGGCGAGGGCGGGAAGATGACCGCACGCTGCGCCCTGCGGCGTGGGCAGGGGAAGCTCCCTCTCCTCCACCTCCTCCTCCTCCTCCTCCTCCTCCTCCTCCTCCTCCTCCTCCTCCCTCCTCCTCCTCCTCCTCCTCCTCCTCCTCCTCCTCCTCCTCCTCCTCCTCCTCTTCCTCCTCCTCCTCCTCTCCTCCTCCTCCTCCTCCTCCTCCTCCTCCTCCTCCTCCTCCTCCTCCTCCTCCTCCTCCTCCTCCTCCTCCTCCTCCCTCCTCCCTCTCCTCCTCCTCCTCCTCCTCCTCCTCCTCCTTTCCTCGCCTTCTCCTCCTCCTCCTCCTCCTCCTCCTCCTCTTCCTTCTCACTCCTCCTCCCCTCCTCCTCCTCCTCCTCCTCCTCCTCCTGCTCCTCCTCCTCTTCCTCCTCCTCCTCCCCCTCCTCCTCCTCTTTCTCCTCCTCCTCCTCCTCTTCCTCCTCCTCCTCCTCCTCCTTCTTCTCCTCCCCCTCCCTCTCCTCCATGGCGCGGGCGCGAGGCCGCGAGGAGATGGGCGCAGTTAGGGGAACGAGCATACACATGCAAACTCGGAGGTCCGCGGCAGATTTCTCGGATCGGCGCTGGGCCCCCCCTGGCGGCGCTTCTGGCGCGGCCCCTGGCGCGCTTTGCGCGCCAGGGAGTGGGGTCCAGCGCCGATCCGAGAAATCCGCGCAGACCTCCGAGTGTGTATGTTCATGTCATTGTTCGTTCCCCTAGCAGTCGCACTCCGCGCGGCGCTGGCCGCGAGGTGCCTCGAAGGGGGGGCCCCTGGCCCCGTCCTGGGGCGCGCTCTGGCCGGGGCCTTGCGGCGGATCCAGCCGCGGCGGCGCGGCCCTGCCGCCGCCCCCCCTCCTCTCCACCCAGGGAGGGCCGGAAGAAGAGGAGGAGGAGGAGGAGGAGGAGGAGGAGGAGGAGGAGGAGGAGGAGGAGGGGAGGAGGGAGCACTCTGGCCCTCCACCCAGGGAGGGCCAGAGAAGGAGTGCCGAGTTCAAACCGCGGTGGTCCTGCCGCTGGGAGCTTCCATGCCGCTCGCCAGGAGAGGAAGAAACTGCACAAGTGGGCCGTGAAGAAGGGCCTCTGGAAGGACCCCTGGCAGCGGCCGGAGAGGTTCGACACCGATTTCGCGCGGACCTTTGACGCGCGGCCCTGGTTGAACGTGGAGGATTCCACCTCGTCCTCCTCCACCTCCTCCTCTTCCTCCTCCTCCTCCATGCACACACCACCTCCTCCTCCTCCTTTTCCTCCTCCTCCTCCTCCTCCTCCTCCCCTCCTCCTCCTCCCCCTCCTCCTCCTCCTCCTCCTCCTCTCCTCCTCCTCCCTCCTGCACTTTCTCCTCTTTCCACACGGGCCTTCTCCTTCTCCTCCTCTTCGTCCTCCTCCTCCTCCTCTTCCGCCTTCCCCTCTTGTCATTGTCAGTATTTGAGTCCACGGTTCGTCGTTCCCATCTCTCCTCCTTCCTCTTCCTCCGTTTGATCCTTTTCCTTCTTTAGCGCTGCATGGTGCGGTTTCAGCCCGCCCGCTGAAGGCGGATCGGGGCCGAGAGCTGCGCTGACCGTGATGGCTTGGCCCTTCTCCTTCTCCTCCTCCTCCTCCTCCTCCTCCTCTTCCTCCTCCTCCTCCTCTTCCTCCTCTCTCTCCCCCCTCCTGCTCCAGGAGCTGCCGTGGCTTTCAGAACAGCAGGAGCTCCCACCACACCTCTCACACCGTACATCCATGGGTGGAGGTCGCTAACATGCGGGGCGGTAGGCCTAGGCTGGCCTGCCGTTCCTACACCTTCCTTCCTCCATCCGCAAGAATTCTTCTAGTGATGGTTCCCAGAGCTGTTGCTCACAATGTTGAATGGGCAGGTTACGCTCGATTGGAAGAGATCTCGACGCTCGTGCCGACAGTTGACTACTGCTGCTTAGTGGCACAGGGAGAGCTTCTTTGAAGGATGAGGACGTGCTCCAGACCACCCTCCCCAACCACACATGCGTGCAGTTTGGTTTTCGGAATTCTAGATGGGCGAATCGTTCATGTGGTTTGGCAGTGCTGTACAACGCAAATATGAAAGGGCACGTTGCAGCAGACGCATTTCCCGCCCAGATCCGGAGGCATCGCAGGGCGCATCGCTATGACAAAGTTCAGGATTGGAGCACGGCTTCGTTTGTTCCTATTTACTTGCCGCGAAAAAGGACCGCCCCCCCCCCGTGTTGAAAGAGGCCGTAGACAAATGCATGACATTGTATTCAGAGACAGTTGACAAACAGGGACACCAATGTTTCATCATCATCATCATCATCATCATCATCATGGGCGGAGACCTCAATTGTTCTTTCGGCATCCGCAGGGACCCGACTGGGCGAACAATGAATCATGCAGATCATAGCGCTGGCCTGAGGCATCCAGGCATGGAGACGGCCATAGCGCAAAACATTCGAGACGCACTTGATGGAAGTCACTTGTCTGTGGGTGGCAGCTTCTGGGACACTGGGCCAACCTATTTTAACGGCGCCTCGAGCAGCAATATCGATCACTATATTTTGCCGACGGCCTGCTTGGAGAGAATCACGGCCATGCGGGCACGTCAGCACTTTGGCCGCAGACTGCAGCGACGAGTCACAACGCTACCGCAGGATCACCTTCCCTTCATATGGAGCTAGTCACATGTGAAGCTTGGGCACAACCGATCACATCACGCGCGTGTCAATCGAGGCACCCTCATGTGAGCATATATTCACGGACGCCTTCGAATCAGTTACTTGGAGGAATTAGAGAAGCACGCAGAGGAGATCCCCGAGAGTACTTGGAGAGGTATTCGGGAGCAGGGGGATGTACAAGCGGGATGGGACCTGCCACGCGAGAGTATCCACGAAAGTTTGGTCAACATCTTCCCGCCGGACGAGCGCCCGTCGGTGCAGTGCGAGCACATGCGCACTGAGCGGGTTGCACTCATCAAGCAGCGTGCCTTACTCCGAGAACGACCCAGCACGGGACCCAGCAGGGCAACGCGGTATGCAAGTGAGAATGGATTTTCAACAACTTGTTGCGAAGGCCGAGTCTGACGTAGCATGCGCTCGCCCTGCAACCGTCGCGCGAGAACTACGAGCAGCGCGGCGACGCCGCGCACTCGAGAGGATAATACAGACGACGAAAGAATCCGAACGGGCATGGGAGAAGCGTGACTGATCGCAGGTCCACAGCCTGAAGACATCATTATCAGGCACAGACAGGCAGAGGGCCAAAGAAGCGATTCATTTTCGGGGCCAGCCAGAATATGACTATCGGCGAGGCCACGAAAGGATTAGCACATAAAGCTGAAGATGGTAGACATGGAGCCACGCCCATAAATTTGACAGAGACGGCAGCAGACTTCCGATGTCTTCCCAAGCTAGTTGCGCCAGGGCTAGCAGTGGAGATGGCCCAGACCGACCGCCTCGGACAGATATAGTACCCCAGGCGCGCTCCGAAGCGAAGAGTGTTCCCAGCGTGGTGGTGGGGGGTGGGGGGGGCCTCCGAAGCATTGCTGATGGCCATGGACCGGGAATTATATTCGAAAGACGACGGCGCGAATTGCTTTATACCTTGCATGTTTTCTCGCAGGCACAACGACCTCCCCACTCCCCATCTTCATTAGAATGGTTGAGTTCATGCCCGCGAACACCTGTGCGCTCACGTGCGTTTTTTTATACGTTAAAAAACAGTTTTTTTTTTTTTTTTTTTTTTTTTTTTTTTTTTTTTTCAGCGGCGCGCACGGCATCCAAGGATTGCACACATTGCGCTGGTACTGCGCATTCGGGATGAGCTTCTATGGGCAGCTTCTCAATCGCACGAAACTGCCAGTACCTGATGATTACGCACACGGGGGGCTCCGAGGCCGGCGTCGCGAGGGATGCGCACTAGCTTTGTCACCAGCAGCATGGAGATGTAGAGACGCAAGAGCATCGCACGCGCTCACGAAGCTTGACGGATCGAACGCCCTCGCCTGCACGGACAGGGAGTGCCTGCGCGCTCTGCGCGAGAGCACTGCGCACCCCAACCAGCAGAACTACCTGCGCGCAGCTATCGAGAACGCAACGGTACACGTGAACGCCATAAACGGGGAAGAGGACTTTCGGGCTGACCGTGGCCCCTCCATGGGGCACTCTCTGGCAGCAGCAGATTGAGTGGACGTTGTCTCTCCAGGGATCGAGAATTGGTGCGAAAAGCTTCGGCGGGGTGATTTCAGCTCCAACTGCTCGCAGGTCGCAGCATGATAACACAAAAACATCGGCATCGGGGCAGGCATGTTCGCCGACGACATATCGCGCATTCACATGCGCCCTCATCACCGAGCAGCTCAGCATATGGCAGCACAGCTGACTCATTCGACCGGTCTACTACAATCACAAATTGAAGACATGGCATCACCCTAGCAAGCACAATGCAGCGCACATCGTGCACATCACGGGGCAGGGGTCTTGTACACGCGTCAAGCAGCTGTGCGCGCCGTCTCTCGTCAACGGCACCGTCGGCAGAGATGCTCGGCTCTTGGGGCCCATCATGCCGTTTGACGGCGTGCTGCGCACAGATCTGGTTAACATAATTTAAGCAGCGCGTGCAGGCCGGCTCTCCCTCGGGCGCTCGTTGCACCAGCCGTTTCCGCGCAGGCTGAAGCGGGCGCTCTTTCTCTGCTTCGTTTACTCGGCGGTCATCTCGGGACTGTCTGCCCTTGTACTTCCTGAAGACTTCGCAGATCGATGCGCCAGTGTAATAGTGGAAATGATGCGGGGGCCGATGGAAGTAAAGGCGGCCGTCGCCGAAGGGGGCGGTCGTATAGCCGAAGTTCACGCAGGCATAATTCGCAAGCCTCAGCCCCGCGCGCGGCAGCCAAAAGGATTATCCTGGTGGGAGGATTGCTGGCAGGAGTGCGCGGAGCTAGGGTCCACGGCCTCACCGCAGGCTCGGGCAGTTGCGTGCTGGCATCGCTCGAAGTACTGTTGCACAATTTCCCACCGGCGCTAAAACAACGGGTTTGTCCTGCACGTTGGCCCCGTCCTCGGCCCACCCCGCCGCCAGGCTTACGTCAGGCGCGTCCCTATGCAGGGAGAAGCTTGAAACATAGTAGTAGTAGTAGTAGTAACAATTTTAGTAGCATTAATAAGATTATGAATAATACGAGTACTAACGATGGTAATCATATAACCAATAGTAATCGTCCCGGGACGATGTTATACAATGTTTGACTACGTTGGGTTTTTTTTGGTTCCTGGATTCTTGTAAAGTTTCGTCCAAAATTCGCCTGTGGGGTGACGTGCCCGACCTGGCACCAGGCCGCTCTCCTCTCCCTCCCTCCGTCCAGCCTCGAGCGCGAGCTTGGCGGGAGGGGTGGCTGCCCCGGGGGCTCCCCGCCGACGCCCGTGCGGCGCGCGCGCGGCAGCGCCCTGTCCGGGGCTGGAAGCACGCCGGGGCCCCCGGCGGGGCTGTGCGCTCGATCCTGCGGGGGCTCGTGCTGGGGCCCCCGCTGTCGCACCGTCCCCAGACCCCCTCGAGTTATGAAAAAATCACGACGGGAGGTTTTTCATGATTTTTGGCATTTGGGAGCCCTTACCGGCCCTCGGGACCGTCAAAAAACAACTCAGGACGAAAAACCGGTCCCGGGGAATGGGTCGGGACTCGGGGGGTCGACGTCATGAAAAAATCATGACGTCGGGGGTCTGGGTCTGGACGGAGCCCCGGGGCCTGATCTGCGTGCCCGGATTGATGAGCTGGTTGCGCACCACCACCCTCATAAGTTGGAAGGGGGGAAGACGAGGACGAGGAGGAGGAGGAGGAGGAGGAGGAGGAGGAGGAGGAGGACGGGGAGGAGGAGGAGGAGGAGGAGGAGGAGGAGGAGGAGGAGGACCCCCCATCCAACTTATGGTGGTGGTGGTGGAAAACACGCCCATCATCGGATCCTTGGAGATGCGTGCCCTCCGCGCCTTGGTCCTGACAGCTTCGAGATACCTCCGCGCTCCGAGGCCCGAAGGGCCTCTGCTCGCACATGGGCGCGCCCCGGCTCGGACCGCCGGCCCCGGTGCCCGCGACTGACGTCCTCGGCCGCCCGCGCATCGCGAGATCCGCGGGCCGCGGCGGCCTTCCTCTCGGAGCTTGTTGCAGGAAGCTTTGAGTCGGCCCTGTCCCTCTACAGGAGGAATAGCGACAAATCGTCGAGGAAATAATCAGGGGACAATGTCTTTGATTCTGCTTAAACATGTTGGGAATCTGTTGAAAGCGTTTTTTTGCAAAACAAAAGAAAACTTTGGCTCCAAATCTGCCTGTAGGGGGACAGGCCCGACCTAAAGGAAGCTGCCTGGCCCAGTGCACCTCGTGCACGGACCGGCGGGCGACGGTCCGAAGTACAAGTTGCGCAGAGAAATGGAAGGCCCCAGACATTTTGCTATCTTGCGCCCAGCGGCTTGGGCGACTAGGAGGGAGTTGGACCATCCAGAATCGGGTGTTGCTAGAAGTACCCCTGGCCCAAGGTGCCCCCAGGATTCTCGGGGTGGCCCAGACGGCCTCCAGAGCATCCCTCACGAGGCCCAGAGGGCCCCAGTGGCTCCAAAGTGTTGCTGAAAGCTGGGGGCACCTTGGGCCAGGGGTACTTCTAGCAACACCCGGCAGAAGCGATCGGCGATTTCGAGGAGGCTTCGACGTGCGACCTGAGCACCGCCCGTTGCTCAAGCCCCAGTCTGGCTTTCAGAGCACCGCCACTGCTGGAAGCGTCTCAACCTTGGCGTGACCTCCCTCCGCATTAGTGGCAATGTTGCCATCGACGGCTCTGCTTTGCAATTCTGCGACGCTGCGCTTGAAAGCGCCGACTGTGCGGTGGTCCATGTGGGCTGCCGCGGGGGGCCCAACGGGCCCCGCCATGGTTCCTTGCCCACCCCGTCCAGTAGCCCGTCTGCTCAAAGGCCTTTGCTCTTCTCAGGCTCACTGATAATCTGGGTGGAGCCCGTCACTGCGGCGCGCGATTGCAAGATGGGGGTGGGCACCTGGGAGAAGGGGCTCCACTAAGCCACAGACAATGTTGCGCATTCAGAATTGGGGAAACCGATTTTCGCGAAGTCGCGAGATGTCCCTGCGCAAGTCTTAGTGAAGAAAACTCCGAGTTCCAGTGGAGAAAACTAGTTCTGGGCTAAGGGAAGTGCTCAAGGATGCGCCCAGTGGGCTCAGAGAGGCAACCGCGAGGCAGATCGTTTGGCCAACGTAGGATCCCGAGTGCACTCAATGCCCCAAGGCTTCCTGGACGAACCCAACGCGCAAGACGTTGTTTTCCGTGGTCGGGCCCCCCTCCTTCGTCTGGATCGGGGGGTGCCCTGGCCAGGATGATGTTCGGGGCTGCTGACAGGTTCAGGGCCAAGAGGCTCAGACCTTCAGACGTGCAAGCACTGCGGCACAGCCGGCAGCCGGGCGGCGAGGCCGCGCGGCAGCACCGCTGAGGGGCCACGCCAGGGGGGGGGGGGGCTGGCACAGGGGGGGGGAGACATCGACCTCCTCCTCCCTCCTCCTCCTCCTCCTCCTCCTCCTCCTCTCCCTCCTCCTCCTCCTCCTCCTCCTCCTCCTCCTCCTCCCTCCTCCTCCTCCTCCTCCTCCTCCTCCTCCTCCTCCTCCCTCCTCCCTCCTCCCTCCTCCTCCTCCTCCTCCTCCTCCTCCTCCTCCTCCTCCTCCACCTTCAGACGTCCAAGTCCTCGACCGCCACAGCCTCCCGTCGCGCTGCTTTGCGGCCCTGCGGCAGCCAGTGCAGCGTCGTCGGCAGGCAGCCCACCGCGGGCGCGCGCGGGCACGCCTGCGAGAGACCCGCCCGGCGGCAGCGCGCGGGAGAGGCCGGTGCCGCTCGTGGAGCCCGTGGTTGGCCATCGGAGGAGGAGGAGGAGGAGGAGGATGAGGAGGAAGAGGAGGAGGAGGAGAGGAGGACGAGGAGGAGGAGGAGGAGGAGGAGGAGGAGGACGAGGAGGAGGAGGAGGAGAGGAGGAGGAGGAGGAGGAGGGAGGAGGAGGAGGAGGAGGAGGAGGAGGAGGAGGGGAAGGAGGAGGAGGAGGAGCTCAGTGAGGAGCGAGAGGCCCGCCTGCGTCGGGCGTGGAAGGTCGCGGCCGTGCACTGGCCTGCCTGGGCCCGCGCGTGTGGCCCCGGCTCCGGTGTGGAGAGGGGGGGTCGGATGCCGTGCAGGCTGTGTGGGGTGCTCGGCGCCAAGGATTTGTGCACGGTTCTGCCCGAGGCGTGTACAATGCAGTGGTCCCAGGCGGGAGTTTCTACACGACCACCGCCTGGAGGGTCAGTTTTGCGGAGCCTCGGCAGGCGGTGGATATGGACATATTCGGGCCCCCGGGGGCCAGAACATATCCCCGCTGGGGCACCAGGACGTCGGTTCCCAGGCGGTGCATATGGATAAATCCCCGCCTCGCAAGTGGGGGCGCGCATCCTGGGCTTCTGCGCTCCGCGCACTGCGCGGCGACTTCCCGCGGCCGTTGAAGGAGCTGCTGCGTTCAGAGTGCTCCATGGTTTCCCCTCCGGTGCACTGCGCGCGCGGGTTTTCAGGGTTGGGTTTCTTGCGAGGGTTTCTTGCGGCCGCGCCCGTAATGTATGGGGGCTCCGGAGCAAGGATGCCAGCAACTTCCGAGCCTTCTGAAAGCGGGGACGGCCCCATCTCCAGAGTCTAGTTTGGGGAGTCCTTGTAGCTTCTGCGTGAGAGAGCCTCTTAAGTGCCGATCGTTTTGTCAACCCTTTCTTGTGGTACCACGTGTTGCATCAGCACGACGTGGCGCGCCAAGGACCCAAAGACCCAAGGGAGGAGGACGAGAGAGAGATAGAAGGAAGGGTGAGAAGGAGGTGGAGGAGGAGGAGGGATAGGGGGAAGGACGGAGGGAGCGAGGAGCGATGACGCTGATGATGATGATGATGCTGATGATGATGATGATGATGATGAGGAGGAGGAGGAGGAGGAGGAGGAGGAGGAGGAGGAGGATGAAACTGAGGATGAGGAGGAGGAAGAGGAGGAGGAGGCGCGGAGGTGTAAAAGAAAAGAGGGAGGAGGCGGAGGAGAAGGAGGAGGAAGAAGGGGAGGAGGAGGAGGATGAGGAGGGGGAGGAGGAGGAGGAGGCGGAGGAGCAGGCGGAGGACGTCGAGAAACAGGAGGAGTAGGGGGAGGAGGAGGTGGATCAGCAGAATGGGGGAGGGAGCAGGAGTGAGGAGAGGATGAACGAGCATGGGGAGGAGGGCGAGGAGGACGAGAAGCAGAAGAGACAAACGCCCACCAGGCTTTCTTTAACGCTTCAGCCCTGTCCAGTGCCTGTCTTGGTTGATGCGTCGACCTTGATCAGAACGCCCTCTCGCCGCTAGCATTTCCTCGGGCTGTCCAACTTGCATACGGGCGCTGGCCGAAATTTCAGTACGTTTGTGATTTTGGCTCAAGCCATGCTTCCTTCGGGAGCTCAAGCGTTTGGCCTACGCCGTGCCGACTCACATCGTATCTGACGTGGCCACCCAGCCGCCCAGGTCAGTCTGACCCGACGGAGGGCCACGATGGCCGCTGGCGCTGCCGACGTGTTCGTGTACGCGCTGGCAACCTTCCTCGGGAACGTCGGCGTCGCCGTCACCGGCTTTGGCATGGCCATTGTGTACCTGTTCGTGTGGCAGGTGGCGAGGCTGTGCGGCTGGGAGGCGGACTTCAAGCACGCGGTGTTCATCCAGGCAATCGGCCTGTTCGCAGCCCAGCCGCTGTTGCTGCGCCAGGCCAACATTCGCAAGCACGGCTCCCGCAACCTCTTGAAGCTGTTCGTTCCGGTGACGGTCTTGTCCACGCCTCTGGGCCAGTGGTTGGGGATCTACGTCGACGAGAACAGGGGGCCGCATGCGAACCCTACCCCTACCCCTCACGATTTCTCAGGGGGAGGGTGGGGTTCACTTCGTTCGGGAGCTCCCGAGCGAAGTGAAGCCCACCCTCCCCCTCCGAAATTGTCTGGGGTAGGGGTGGGGTTCGCATGTGGCCCCCTAGAGAAGGCAGTCCAGACGGCGGGGGGCATCGTCATCTGCCTCTTCGCCGCCTTCGAGGTGTTCCGCAACCGCGGGCTCATCCTCGAGGCCCTCCGCGGCGCCCCGCTCTCGGGCCCGCGCAGCGAGGACGCGGAGCCCTCCTCCCCCCTCCTCCTCCCCCTCCTCCCCCTCCTCCTCCTCCTCCTCCTCCTTCCTCCTCCTCCTCCTCCTCCTCCTACTCCTCCTTCTCCTCCTCCTCCTCCTCGAGGACGCGGAGCCGCAGGGTTTTGATGGGGTTTTGGTCGAGGATGGCGAGGGCGAGCCGGAGAGGTCCACAGAGAGGGTGTTCTTCATGATCGGGTCGCAGAGGTCTGGATCGAATTGGCTGCGGACGATGATGGACGAGCGCGAGGACATCGCGGGCCCGCACCCGCCGCACATCTTTGACAACTTCGTGCCCATCCTCGACAAGTTCGGCGACCTGGGCCGAGCGACCAACAGGAAGGTCCTCGTCGATCATGTGCTGACTTTCGTCGAACGAAACCAGGTGCCATGGACCGACAGAAAGGGTCGCCTCCTCACCTTCGACCGGGACCAGGTCTTCCGCTCGGTGGAGCGGGAGGCGGATACGGATGCCTTGTCTGGGATGGAGATCCTCATGGTCATATTCAACGAGGTCTACGACACCCATGCGAGAGCCAATTTCAAGAGAACATGGTTGTGTAAGTCCATGGGGATGTCGAGGTACCACGATACGCTGCTGAAGTTCTACGGAAAGGATCGCCTTCGTTACATTTACCTGGTTCGCGACCCGCGCGACGTCGCCATGTCGTTCATGAACACTCCTGTCGGTGATTGCCACTACCACGCGATTGCCACCAAGTGGGTGGGGCTCCAAGAGAGTGCTCTGAAGATCGCCGACGCCTGCCCCGATATGGTGCACGTGCTCCGCTACGAGGATCTGCTGCAGGACAAGGCTCGTGCAATGAAGAGTCTCTTCGCGTTCGTCGGCAAGGAGTGCTTCGCGATCACGAGACAGATAAGCTCCTCGTCCGTGTTGGCGATGCGGGACCTGGAGGCCAAGTGTGAGGACGCCAGGTCTGGCACCGAGTCGAAAAAGGCGGCGGGGTTATCGAAGCAATTTTGTAACCTGACTCTTGGCGACGACTTCGCGAAGGGCCAGTTTGCGAAGTGGCTCCACGGCGCGCCGCCCATGCCCACGGACGACGTGATTCTCGTCGAGAACGTGACGTGGGACACGATGCAGCGCTTGGGTTACATGCCGAGCATCGTGTCGGTGACGCAGGACCCCGCAGCCTACTCGAAGAGTGAGCTGGAGACGTTTGAGAAGCTGAACAGGAAGGGGATCGAAAAGATGAACGCCGACCTGGAGGAGGAAGATCCCGAAGACGCACGCCGCCGGAGATCGTCGGCGGAGGTGCTCGCCTTACCGCCGGAGCTTATCCAGAAGCAGATGAAGCGGAGGAGTGCGAGCTCTGCGCGGCTGCTGGAGCAGGTGGCGGCTGATGGGCTCACAATCGAGATCCCGGGAGGCTTGACCTTGCGCTGCGCGGCGTTGTCGCAGGCGGGGGACCACCCCATCAAGAGGCTCCCGAACCAGGACGCGTTCACCCTGACGGAGGGCCGTGTCGGCGACGCGCAGCAGTGGCTCGCCGTCTATGACGGGCACGGGCCGCTCGGCCGGGAGTGCGCCGCCTTCGCCCGCGAACACCTTTGCGACGCCGTCGCCGACCGCCTGGGGCGCGGCGCGGCCGGCCATGTGGCGGCCGCGGTTGAGCAGGCCGAGGACGTTGGCGCTGCTCTGAAGGCGGCGCACGCCCTCGTCGATGACATGCTGCGCGAGGACGAGTCCATCAACGACCAGGAGTCCGGGACCACGGCGATCTCCATGTACGTCAGCCGCGACCGCTGCTACATCAGCAACGTCGGCGACAGCTGCTGCTTCCGCGGCCACGCGGGCCCAGGCGGCCAGCTCGTCGCGGAGCCGCTTTCGGAGGCCCAGGACGCCAGCCGACCTGACGAGGCGGACAGGATCAGGAGCTGCGGCGGGATGATCGCCACTGCAAGCCAGGTGGACGGCTCCGAGCCTATGGACCCAGGCATCGAGCCCACCACCGAGCCCATGGATGACCGGACTGGAGATGGCCCACCACCGCGCGTGTGGGCGCCAGGGCGTCCGCAGCCAGGCTGTGCGTTCACGCGCTCCATCGGCGACCGCGCCGCCAAGCTCCTGGGCGTCGTCGCCGAGCCCGAGCTGAGGAGTCATACGATCACGAGAGCTGACAAGGTCTTCGTCCTCTGCAGCGACGGGATTTCGAAGTACATGACGGCGCGCGATTGTTGCAGCATGGCCCTGCAGCACGACGACCCAGTTGCCGCGTGCGCATCATTGGTGGCGGAGGCCCGCAGGCGGTGGCTGAGCCACGGGGACCGCGTTGACGACATCACAGCACTTGTTTGCCTCGTCAGCCCACGTAGCAAGGGCGAGAAGCAGGACGCCCGTGCAGAGGATGCGATCTCGCAGCAGGCGGAGCAGATAAGCTTGCGTTTGGCTGCTTGGGCGATCTCCATGGGGTTCGCGAGCGGGTTTCTAGGTGGCCTCTGCGGCATCCGTGGGCCCCCCATGATCATCTTCTTCCTGCACATGGTGCTCCCGAAGGCCGTCCAGAAGGCGAACGGAGCTGCGATCACTGTGGTCAACGTATCGATGCGTATTTTTGGATACGCAGTGGATGTTGCGACAGGCAACAGCACAGCCGTGATGGAGGATTGGCCGCTCTACGCTTCCGTGGTGTTGATTTCGCCTGTGGGTGTCGCCATTGGCGGGCGACTCTTCGATCGCACGAAAGATTCCCAGGCGAATATCAAAACCATACTCGCGATGCTGCTGGTGTTATGCGGCATCAGCCTGCTCATCACTGCCTTTGGATGAGCTGATGAGGCTCCCCAGCCACATGAGGCTAGAAATGCTGCTGCACTTCAGTCTCGGCGATTCATCCGATCCTATTTCATTCTCGGCGATTCATCCGGGGCACACAAGTTGTCACCGGTCATGTTCGATTTTCAGAGATCCAAGCAGAAGTCTGGGGCACATATGCTTAAGTCGGGGGCTTGTCCCTCTACATGGGGGAATGTTCAAACATAGTATAGGGACGATGTGTTGACCATTTTTGCTGCCATACGTGGGCTTCTCTTGCTGCTCTGCCAGTCGTGACTTTGCTGGAGCTTCGCTTCTGCACAGGGCTCTGGGCAACAAGCCGATGTCGGCCTGGGACCCAGGAGCGGCCTAACGCCCGCGCGCTCCCCGTTCTCGCCTGTACAGACAGCGCCAACGTCGAGAGCCCATTCTCGTGGAAACATGGTCCCCCCTCCCTGTTTGTTTCAGGAGGGAAAGAAACACACAGACACAATTAATCGTCGATCCCCAGGCAAGATGGGAAGATATAGGAAGTGGGGGGGGAGACGAAAACCCCCAAAATATGAAAAAAAAATGCGGAATCCTGTTATTTGTGTGGATTTATTTGTGTGTCCCAGGGCCCCTTCATTGTTGGCCGCAAAAAGCCGGTTGATCGAGCTTGCCGTGGTCGTGGACTGATCCGGCCCCGCATCAGCAGCCTGCGGCGGATCGATCGTTCGCGTCGGGCCGGATGCGCTCGTCAGTGCACTGCTCGCGCGCCGCACGGTCCTTCGCGCATCAGTCGCGGTCTTCGGATTCTTGGTTGGCCACAGGTTGAAGGTCTCGGGTGCTGTCGAGTGTAGACTCAGGTCGGCCACGGGCATGAGCGCAGGAGGCAGGGGGCCCTTGCATACTTCGGGCTCGGGCCTCCCTGGCATCCTTGGCGTGCCCCCTTCCTTGGCGCTCTCCAGCGTTTTCCCAGGCGCCTTGCCTCCTCCTCGCCCTTGGCCTGACTGCCGACTGGTGACTGCAGCAGGGCCCGAGCGGGGCCCCCCAGGACATCGTCCAGAGCGCGCCCTGGATGGCCGCCGCGCGCGAGAAGTGGAGGGACCTGCGCATAGAGGCGGACCAGCTGCTCGGCTCTGGGGGGCCTCGGAGAAAAGCTGGCACCCGTGGCAAGCGCGGCCTGCCGGTGCAGGCCTCGAAGCCAGCCCCACCCGCCGGGGGGGGTGGTAGGGGGAAATTTCAGTGATCAGGCATAGTGGGGTGACATCTGGGAGAACGACTTACTCATTTTCCGTCTCGATCCGATCGTCCAGTTCGATATCGGTTCTGACCGGCCCGATCAGATTCCATTCCGATAACATTCCGACGATCAGGTGAGGCCCGATGTCCGCACGGCGTTGCAATGCACCCTGGCGGAGGATTCGACTTCGACTCCGTGCGATGCGGCCCGTTCCGGCTGACTTTCCCGTCCGATGTTCAGATTCGATGCTGCTTTTGACTTGCTTCCTTGACCATGTGCGCCGTTGGCAGGGCTCCTGCCCGCCCGCGCGGCACTGGGGGGGGAGTCCAGCCAGCCACTGTGTCCGACGGACCCGTGCTGCGTCCTGCAGGAGGAAGAGGAGGAGGAGGAGGAGGAGGAGGAGGAGGAGGAGGAGGAGG